CCGGATTTGGGGTTTTTTTCCTAATTTCTCTTATTTTCGGTTAACCCTTGGCGGGCAGAGCGCGCGCCCCCCGCGCCTCGCCGGCCGCCCCTTCGCGCGATCCATCCCCGCAGGGAGCGCCCGGCCGCGGGCCCCGCGCTCCGGCGCCCGCTACCCCGCTGCCCGCGGGCGGAAGAGCCGGGAGCGTCGCCCGCAAATCGCCGGGAACGCTCTGTCATGGCAGGAGGGAGAAGCGCTAGGAAAACGCTCAACATGCCCCCGCCCCGCTCCGCAGATCCCAGGGGGAGCAGCCGCGCTCACCAAATCCAGCGCCGTCCCCCCGTTTTCTCCCCGTTTTCTCCCCGTTTTCTCCCCGCGGCTGCTGCCGCAGCCTTTGGGGTGCGGGACCGGCCTCCGCAGCGGTGCGAGGCCTCGGGACCAACGGGAAAAACGAGGAAAAGCGGGATGCGTTGCAGGCTCCAGCACATCAGCGCGCAGCCCGTGCCCGCAACCTTGAAGTGTGAGGGATGTCCTCGCTGCTTTGTAAAGCRCCCTGCAAGCTGCGGATTAAAAATATTCCACACCTGAGTAATATGTAACTATGGTATACACATAAAAGCCCTTATGCACAAGGGCTTTTTCTTTGTGAAAAAGAAACATGCACTAAAAATGTTTGAGATATTTCCCCCACACAAAGGATTTATGATTTGCAGGTTTATTATTTAAGTTCATTAYTTATCTCCTTAGAGGGCTCATCTTGTAGCCTACTTTATTTTTGATTGCTAAAAATAAATAAATAAATAAATCCAGATTTAAAGTCTGAAAATCCAACGCTAAAAGGGGAACACCTAGAGAAAATAAAGTCAGACCCATGATATAACATCACAAGATGCCTCCTAGCCAGCACTTTCTGCTGCCAACAAAATAGCATGATCATATCACCTTGTCCTCAAAAACAAAGGAACTGCTTCCAGGAAATTCTGACTGATGCCACTTTCCTGTCAGAATTTCCTGGCTTAGCTATTTGTATCATCCACAGAGGAAGCAATGATTTATGATAAGTGCCTTCCTCCGATAAGAGTTTTCTCTTCTCTGCTTCCCTCCCTACTGTGGGTACCAAATTTTGACAGATGCCACTCATCCTTCAGAATTGTCAGCCTTTTGAAGGAATCATGCAAATGGGGGGGAAAAAAAAGTGGAAGTTTTGACAGCTGAGACACAGGTGAGACATCAGAATTTGCTACTTCTTGTTACAGCCAGAAAAAAACGAGTGAAAATGTACAGGCACATAATACTACACTAGTTTTCTGCTTACAAATATATACATGCATATCCAGAAATAATCAACATTATTAAAGCATAAACATGAAGCTCTCATCATCAATGTGTAATTACACAGCACATTTAAGGCTCAGTTCTAGTTCCTGATGGGATCACAGGTGTAAATAACACTGGTGGACKCTCAATGGTTTAAAATTGCAGGAAACTCTATGATTATGGTGGAGACTTTTGGTGGTGGTGATGGTGGCAACGGAAAAAATTGCCAACTGGAAGATTCAGCCAGGAAGTCTTTTAAGGCTTCTTTCTTTCAAAAATTTCCTAAGCTTAGGTGTGCCAATGTAATGCAAAGGCAGAGAAAAGAGAACAAAAATAAAGAGATTTATGCAACTCCTTTCTGGGAATAAGACATAAAACATTTCCAGACTTGGGCTTGAACAACAATATTTTCCAGGTTCTAAGTATAATATTACCAGTGTCAGGAAGCTGCCTGGACATGAAACTTCTTGCAGATAATTTACTCCCCAGATCCACCACTTGGGGAATGGCGCATTCCTGCACTACCCATTTCATTACATATCACTGACGTATTTAACTACGAAAATCCACACGTGCACGTTCTCAGTATGATATGGTTGCTTTTGGGTCTTTCAGAGGCACAAAGACGCTGCTCTTGGCTACATTACGAGGATGTGGTGAACTTGTTACTGTGGCAGAGGGGAAGCAAGAGAGGGGCAATCCATTCCCTGAGCGCAAGTGTKAAAGGATCAGTGCTCTGCTCTGCAACAAATGAGAGTACCCAAAAGCTACTATAGCTTCTGCTAATGAAGACAAGGGTTGTCCGCYTCTATTAGACAAAAACCTTGCTAAAAAAGGCCACTCAATTCCTCCAAAGCCCTGTAAATATAAACAATGGATTGTATTAAATGGTATAAAAGCCATATGCTTGTGCTCCATTCCTCTTTTTTCTCATTGGCTGCTCTGATACTGCTGTCTCCAGTTTTCTCTGTGATTTCCATTAATCCTTTTTCAACATCTCACTCTGCTTTKCCATAGCCTGTTGTTTCAAGCTTAGATGCTTCTTATTTCCCATATATATTTTTTTTAATATTTCAATAAATTGCTAACTTCAAAAGTCCCTAACCCTATGACTCCTACATGCAGTCAATCTTGCCTCTTTCTGTCTCTGTCCTATTCCCCTGACATTTTCTGTCCTGTTTCTCTGAGTAAATATCTGGCTCTTGATCTGTGCAGTTAGACTACTATTTATTCAAATTTATTTATTCAAATTCCTGCCATAAAGTAATAGCCAGTGTTGCTGATTTACCTATTCTCTCGCTCTCTCTCTCTTTTTTTTTTTTTTTTTTTTTTTTTTTTCACTTGATACTGCCTATTTGGAAAAAAAAATCTTATACAAAACTGGAAATATCTACTCAAGAAACAGGATATGGATTTGAGACACTTTCTGGAAGTGAATGAAATGCATTCATTCTGACTGTTTTTCTGCCAGTGACAAATATAATACTCAGTAGTCTGCAGTTTAATATTTAACAATGTTCATCATTCAAGAAACAGTCCTGGCATAATTTAGAAGAAAATATTTAATGGTATGAACAACCCCTTTTGTTAAGCGGTCCTTAAAGCATGTCACAGGCTACACAATACCATGGCAATATATTCTGAGAAATCATTTCACTCCCTGCTGAAATACATCCATCATGGGCAGAAAGAAAAATCTGTACAGAAAGTCACAAGAAACGCAAGTCAGCTCCCATGGCAATTCTTACTGAATTCAATAAAATTCAGTTTATCCAAAGAGTCTCCCCCTGTATGTAATCTGATGTGTGAGAGCTACCTCCGTACCCTTTCCACCACCTCCAATACTTCSAGTGTCCTTTTATTGCTCTCCATTTCCTTTTCTACTTCTTTCACTTAGCCTCCCATGTTTTCCTCTGTTCTTCAAATAACTTTTATCTTCACATTCATCTGAAGGAGAAATAGACTCTTTTCTTTACCTATCAAATGCTTGTATTGTGTAATATACCTTGGGCATTACACATCCATGCATTCCCTGTGAGTGCGGAGAGACTAGAAAAAGGGAAACTGGGACAATCTTGCACCCCAGTTCCTGCCCTGTATCAGAGKGGAATACACAGAGACTATAGAAAGCAGGTTCCCAATTTGGGGAATTTGTACAAGCTAAGTGGAGGGCTGGTACTGCAGAAGCTCAGGAAAAACAGTAGCATCTTCCCGAGTGTGATGGGGACACTAAGCTCTGCAGCATGCACTAAGAGCTTGGGCTACTCCCTTCCCCACGCTCACCCGCTGCCCTCGCTCCAGGGTGGCTCGGTCTGCTCACATGTGTGTGCCCGATCAACCCAGCACCCGGCTGGTATTCCCACTTCGGATGCTATTGGGAGAAAAAACACACTGTTCTCTCCATATTGTTAATGTTCATGCTGCAAGATTTCCCACCTGCTCATGTAAACTCCTGGAATGAGCCTGTTGCCTTTTCCCTAACCTCTCCTCTCCCCCTAYAACTCCCATGCAGTTCTCAAGCTGCAGCTTTAGGAGAGTATGTGATCAAAAATCAATGTATCACGAAAGAGGGATGCATTTGCAAAGGTCGTAAAACACCTGCTGGTCCAGCCAAGGTGAAAGAGTCCCCTTCATAAGCAACTATTGGCTGTTGCAAACATTAGAAGTGTAATTTACTACACTGTTTTAAACAATACAGCACCAGTCTCACAAGCAAATCCTCCATCACACACACTTCAAGAGCAACTACAAGAAAATCAGGACACCTGCAACACCACCTTATAAAAGACAGCTAAGAACAAGCCATGATGGATTTTGAATTTCCTAACACCCAGTCAAGCTAAACAGCCAAGTCAAAATGGAACATAGTAAATAATATCAGATTAAAACGGGTAACAAATGAAGGCAGGAAAAGTACTTAAGCTCAACTTCACTGGTTGCAAAACCTCTATTTTACTAAGTGATTGCTATATGAAAGTCTTCTTCAGCTTCACTCCTAATGCAAACTAGTCCACAAGTGCAAGGAATACTATTTCAGTCATAGTATTGAAAGAAATCATTGAAAGAAAAAATAGTAAAATAAAATAGCTCAAAATAACATACAGCAAGACCACAAAATTTGTTCACTTCCTCAGAATCAGCTTCTTCAATATGTCCAGAGAAAAGCTCCTAAAATCCTGAATGCAAATTGCATAGCTAGCACAATTTTAAAGTCAGCAAGACATTAATTCCATAAGCAATATCCCAGGAGATTTCAAGCAGACTTCAATGTCTTGTACTCTTCTAAAAAGGAATCTGAGTAAATAATGAGCACCAAGTTTTAATTTTTACCAATTAAAATTTTTACTAATTATATTTTAATTTTAACCAATTAAAACTTGCTCTGTTAAAAAATAACACACTTCAAAGATGGTTAAGAAGCTAAATGCTTGCAACCAAAATAGATGAGGCATCAAAGAAAACCTAGCAAATAAGGGCAAATATAATAATAAATATGAAAAAT